GTCGGCATGCAGCTGGACCTGCAGCAGCCAGCACCTGTTGACCTCGGCGAGCTGGGGGAAGCTGCGCAGCGCCGCCAGCTGGCGCAGCTCCAGGAGGCGCTGGCGAAGGGCGGCGCCAGCCGGCTGGAGCACTATGTGCACAACGTGGTGGGCGCCCTCAACCTGGCGCCCGCCATGTTTGGGCAGCGCGAGACCTACCTGGATGCAGTACGGCGTCGGCAGGACCGCGAGGCGCTGGCGCAGCTGCGCACCGGGTCGCATTGGGGCGCGGAAGAGACCGGCCGCTGGACGCGGCGCCCCCGAGAGCAGCGAGTCTGCCCCCACTGCCACGACGGCATTGAAGATGCCCCCCACATGCTGCTCACCTGCCCCCTTTACGCCCCGCTGCGCCTCAACTTTCCTGACCTGTTTGCTGAGCCCCATCCTCCCCACCGCTTCCTCCGCCAGAAACCGTGCCGCCTCGCCGCCTTTGCTGCCGCCTGTCACCAGCGCTGGCTGACCGCCACCGTTGCGCTGCCTGCAGTCCCGCCCTGAACCCCCACTCTCATGTCCACCCCCTTTGCTCTTACCGCACCACACCTGCTCCACGACATGCAGTACTGCCTGCCCGCTCACACACTAAACGCTCGGTGACCTGTCAGTTGGCCTGTCCTGCCTGTTGTTCTACTGCTTCATCCCTCCTTGCTCGAACAACAAAGTCTGTGCTGCAAGCTTGTTCTTGCTGAAACCAGACTGTAAGCCCACACAAGCAAGGCAGAGTGCCCTTCAGCTGCCCGCAAACCTGAAGTGCCTTGCGCCTCCTGCTTGCCTGAGTGGACCGCGCATTGCTGGCTGCGCCTCGCCACAGGTACTCCCCGCCGGGCAACGGCGGCGGTGCCCAGGAGTGGGCAGCCAACGTGGCGTGAGCCAGCTCCCCGCCTGCCCGCATCGGGATTTGACTGGAATTCAGAGGCCCGCTTAGAAGCCACCACCCCAACCCAGCCCCTGCACAGGCGCTCTTGTGTGGCACGTCTAATTCTATCTATTTCTATTTATGACCTGACCTGAAAATACGAGCCCCTTGAGTGGCAGCAAAGCAGAGGGTAGTGAGCAGGGCAGCCAAGCCGTGAACGAGACTCTGTGCACCTCTCGAAGCGGCGGAAAAGGCGTCATGCACCTCTGGAGGGCCTGCTGAACGATTGACGGACGCTGTGCACCCGAGCGCTTGCGGGCAGGAAGGCGCCAGCGCTGGCGGCGGCGGCGCCCGGCTTGTTCAAGGCGGCGGCTGTGGCTTGCGGAACACTCCTGCCCCGCCAGCGCGTTACTGCGCCTCGGCATATGGCACTGAGAGAGCCAGCTGGTAATGTGAATGATCCAGGGCGTTGACTGCACGCCTTGGCACCCACGACTGTCACCGAGTTGCGCCGCAAGGCTGCCAGCGGGGGCGGGTGCCCGCCGGTCTCCCCCGCCTCGAGCCGCTCCGCTGGCTCTCCAGGCAACCTTTGCGCTCCCTCATCTGGCTCTTCTCGTCTTCTCTGCTATGCTCGAAGGAAGAAAATCTAGATTCCTGAGCTGAAACCGTCCAAGGAGGCGGTCCTGCGCGCCCTCAATCCGTCCAGTACATCACAACCCCACTCCGCCACTTTGCGCTCTGCTCTCTGCCGTCTGCCGCCACCATGAGGACCCACGGCGCGCTCTGCTGCCTCCTCGGCTCCCTGCTGCTGGCCTGTGTGGCCGTGGGCGGCGCTAGTGCTCAGCGCAACCCGGGTGAGCTTCGGACGCAGCTCTGCTGCCCCACGAGGGGCCTGAAGCGTGCTGATGGCCCGCGAGAGCATTCTGGAACCGCGTAGGTTCTATGGGTGGCCTCACTGTTGTGAGCTGACCTCCACAACACTGTACGGGCCACGAGGCACAGCTTCTGCTCCCAGCCAGCTCGTGCAATGCACGTGGAGCAACTTGCAGATCAGCGAGCGCGCCGGCGGCAGCCACCGACGCCGCCCAGCCAACCCGCCCACAAGCTGCGACACCTCCCGCCCTGTTTTCCCCTCCTCCTGACGCGTGCCTCCCCGGCCCTCCCTGCCGCAGGCCGCAAGGCGCTCCAGGAGCAGTGGTCCGAGTGGTGGTGCGAGGGCTCCGGCTGCGACGACTTCCCGCCTGCCCAGCAGAACGGCGGCCAGCCCGGCGGCCAGACCGGCCAGCCCCCCCAGACCAACGGCCAGCCCATTGGCCAGCCCAACGGCCAGCCCACCCAGGACAACGGCCAGGGCGCGCCCAGCGCCCCCACCGGCCAGGGCGCCCCCTGCCCCGACCAGCAGGCGGTGCTGGACCAGCACAACCAGGCCCGCGCCGCCCGCGCCGCCCAGCCCCTGCAGTGGAGCGCCTTGCTGGCCGCCGACGCGGCCGCCTGGAGCGCACAGTGCAACAGGGACAACTTTGGCTACTCGGTGAGCGCACCTGCCATTGGCTGATACTGCTGGTGCTGCAGGGGTGGCTGCTTCACGTGCCGCCGCCGCCGAGGCCCTTCCACCCATCCCGCCTCTGATCCCCCTCCGCCTGCCGCTGCATGCTGTGCAGCACTCCCCGGGCTCTAGCGATGGAAGCTTTGGCGAGAAGTAAGAAGAGGGTTGTGTTCGCATCGCGTGGCGTTAATGTCTTGCGCGTTGCCCCACCGCCGCCGCCGCTCGCACCATTCCTCACCGCTCACCCCTGCGTCTCTCGCTGCTGTGCAGCCTGGCCTGGTTTGAGAACAGGGTGGGCAGCATGCTGCTGCGCCCCGTCAGAACCGCTCTCCTCAGGGGCTCCTTGCCGCCGCCCACACCATCACATGCGGCTGTGTCCTGAACTGATGCTCTGTTCTGTGCTTCCTGTCTGCCACTGCAGGGCGACCAGTGCGGCACAGGGGTGCAGTCGTGGCTGAACGAGCAGAGCCAGTGGAGCCCCAACAACCCCATGAACTTTGCCGCCGGCCACTACACGCAGATGGTGTGGAAGGTGCGGGCTGGCTGGGGCAGCAGCGTAGCTGCAGGCAGCTGCAAAATGCCCGCTGGGCTCCCTGCCGCACGCTTGCCCCTGCCTGCCTCATCTCCAGCATCCAACCATCGCCCCCTGCCAAGCACGTGTACCAACCCGCAGCTCTGCCCGCCTTCCCCCACCATGCCATGTACCGCTGCTGCCCCGCCTGCTGCAGGAATCCACCCAGGTTGGGTGCGGCATCGCGCTGTGCCGCCAGGGCCAGTGGGGCCCCGAGTACCTGGTCACCTGCAGGTGGGTGGGGCGGGGGCAGGATGCGGGTTTGAAAGAAATAGTCGAGAGCATGGGCCATCTTAGCAAGGGAGGCAGCAACCCGCAGACTGTGTGTCTCCAGCAGCGTGTCTCCCCCTGTGCTCTCCCTCCAAGCCACCCCGCTGCCGCATTGCATGCTCCCGCTCGTCCGCCGCAGGTACACCCCGCCCGGCAACTTCGGCGCCCAGGAAGACTGGGCTCGCAACGTGTGAGGGCCCTCGCACCGCGCTGCCCGCCGCATCACAAGATAGCGGCGACGCAGCAGGAAGCCGCCATGACCTCTCTTCTCCCCCTCCACGCACCGGCAGCGTGCCCCCGTGCATCCACATCCGGCAATAGCGATAGTCACCCCCTCTGCATCTGCATCTCCGGAATCCAGCATTCTGACATTATCCCTGGGCTCCTCCGGCGCCCGGCACATGCGCCCCATCATGACCAGCTATCTATTTCTGATGTTCTGAGGCCCCTGATCGACGAAGCCTGACCTGAAAGTCTGACAACCCCTTGTACAGATATCTGGAAAGCCTGGCCCTATGTAACCTGCACAGCTCTACATTCCCCGGGAGAACCCTTGTGGCGAGCTGGCAAACACAGCTTACACAAGTGCTGCCACCCGCCAACAACTCAACACCATCGCAACAAAATTATTGCTGGCCGCAGGGATTGCCGCTATCAGCTGGCGCTGCCGGCGCCCCCAAACACCTGCTCCAGGCACTGCTCAAAGATGGCCAGCCCCTCCTCCACCTCGCCCTCGCTGACGTTGAGCGGCGGCAGGAAGCGAATCGTCTCGCGGGCGCCTGCAGGTGCAGCGGGCAAGCAGCCGGGCAGCTGAGCTGGCGGGCAAGGCGAGGCCAGCGGGCTGAAGCCAGGCCCAGGCTGAAACCCACAGCAGCAGCAGCAGCACTGGGTCAAGGCCGCGCGCACCCGCTCCCAGCAGCAGCAGGCCGCGCTGGCCCGCGGCGTGCGCCAGGTCGGCCGCCGTGTGGGGCCGCGCCGCGATGCCGCCGCCCGGCTGCGGCTCCCCAAACTCGGCCGCCAGCATGAGGCCGCGCCCCCTCACATCTGCAATAGGGTACTTCTGCAGAGGAGGAAGGGCGGGAAACAGTGTGTGCGGGGTTGGGGGGTTGGGGGGTTGGGGGGGGGGGGGGGGGGGTTC